AGAGAGAGAGAGAGAGAGAGAGAGAGTGGTGTGTGTGTGTGGCCAGCTCAGCCCACCAGGGGGTAGGGCTGGCTGGCATGTGGTGCTGGAGGATCGAACCGTGGTCCCTGATGCTTTGCTAAGCTTGTTCTAAGTAGGTGCTTCAGACCACTGAGCCATCTCTCCAGCCCCTCAAATCTACTTTAATGCAGTGACTTTTCTTGATAGATGTTTTGAGTATTAAAAATTATTTTTATGTTATCTGATGATCTTTTTGTTAGTAAATCCTCAAAAACTCTTTGAATGCTCTTTGTTCTTAATTAAAGGTCATTAAGAATTTAAAATAATTAGTAAAAAATAAATTTAGTACCTTGAATACCTCATTAAGAAGTATCACTGCAGTTTGAAATTAAACATGGAAAGCTCCCTAATGAAATGCTATTCTTTTAATGAGTTGCTTAGTGTTACAGGAAATTTGGGAAGCTTAAAAAATGGAATTTCTGGATGGGTATTACTTAGGGGAAATAAACTGTCAGTTCCCAAGTTAAATCTGACCTTTTGATGAATATAATGTCTCCTTTTATGTTATGGCTCAGTTTGTGTATGTAGCATTGCAGACAGACGCTTCAGTTCTTAATCTTGGGTTTTAAAACCTAAAGACTTATGGTATATAGACATATCTAACATCTACAGTGCATATACACATATTAAAAAGTCTAATATATTAATACAAGTAGTTCATTGTTTCTCTCATTGTCAAACTTAAAACTGTGGGCATTTTCTTTGTACTTTTTGAGCCTTGCCCAAGCTCTCTTTCAGCCTTTTGTATAAAAATAAACTTTAGAAGTTGAGTATATTGTTTTTGTCTTGGCAGAAGTGTTTTTTTTTTTTTTTTTTTTTTTTTGCGCCGAATGCCTTCAAGGCATGACTGGCTGTATTGTGTTGTGGGGATCAAACCCAAGCAACCTGAGCCTGACTGTTTTGTTGAAGCAGCCACTTAAAGAACTGAGCTACCGGGCAGGCCCCCCTGTTTTTGTCTTTCCATTTGCTTGGTACACAGTCTCATTACACAGCTCAGACTCATAGTGATCCTCTTGTTGTAGCCTTCCCATTGTTAGGATTACAGGCATGTGCCACCATGCCCAGTCTTGGTGGCTGGCTTGGTGTATGGTACCAGGGATCAAACCTGGGTTCTTGTGCTTGCCTAGGCAGGCACCTAGACCACTAAGCCATCTCTGAGCTCCCTCCATTTACTTGTTTAAGGTGCAATTGTTACATGTACTTGGTCCTCATAATAATGCACATGATTAGTTAATAGAAAGATGGGTCCAGAGGGAAAGTGGATGAGCATAGGCATTCTGCTCTTGGGAAACCAGCTCTGAATGTGAACTCTGATTCCTCATGTCCATGTGGAGGGGACTTTGAGTTATAAGGAGGAGTAAATCATTCTTGTCCTTGAATGGCTTATAGACTCTGAAGGGCTAAAAGAAGATACATAGCCCATGAAGGATGCAAATGAGATTGCATCTAAAATTTTTCTTTTTGCTACCCTTCACTTGATGAGGGACTCACTGACCAACTTTCTATGTCTTATTGCTTTTCTTTTTATGCAACTCGAAGTATATCACTGGATGGAAAATTTAAAGCATAAATTAGTGCCTCAGAATAATATAAAACTCTTTTTAGAATCTGCAGCTGTTTAGTCATTAGACTTGTTATATCTTTTTTCCCAGCTAAAATCTGATCTTTAAATCTATACCCCATTACCTAAAAATAGAGAATTTGATGCTTCTGGGAAATTTACACTTTAGGATCCAATGAATGGATTACTATAAAATTCATATTGTAGTTAAAAATACACATAATCCTCCCTATTGCAGTCATTACATATAAAACAATCATGCTGATGTATTTTGCATGCCTTGACATTTTCATGAAGAATTATAAAAATAGACCTTTGTGATTACTTATGCATAGGTCTGTTGATTACTTAAGCATAGATGGGTATCTTTGGAAGGATTAGCTACTAGCTATTCATATAAATATACATAGTTAAATAATTCTTAGGATATTGTATATTTGAGCAAGTATGAGAGCAAGTTACTATTTTAATCTGTGTGCTATTGTAAGCGTTTAGAGGTCACGTTTATTAAAGGATATATCCTGTCCTTTGTGAATACAATGCGATGTTGGGCTATTTCAGGCCAAAGACCATACTTTTTTTTTTTTTTTTTTGCTGGTGTTGAGGATTGAACTCAGGACTTTGTGCTTGCCAGGCAGGCGCTTATGCCACTGAGCTGTCTCCCCAGCCCCTCATACTTCTTAATTTACTGAAATACTGTTTATTTAAGAAAGAATAGTATAGCTTGTACTCCTTTTTCATTTTTTTTTAGATTGTGTTTGTTGTTATATATACACATTGACGTGTATCTGAAAACCTTTAGCAATAACTGTTAAAGTTCTATTTATGGCTCCTTATGACTGTTCACATTTGGAAGATAATCTGGTTTGAAGTACCTAGGAGAGGGGAATCCTTGTTCCACAGGATGCTTTTTCTGAACAGAAGCTCAAAAAGATCATGCTCACAACAAGGCAGAGAAAATTAAATGAGGTTGAAATAGGAAGATTCAGGGCTAGGGATGGAACTCAATGGTAAGGCACTTGCCTATGTATGTGAGGCCCTGGAATCCACCCCCATACTATAGAGAAAGAAAGGAAAGGAGAAAAGAGATTGAGTTAAAACCTGAAGAAAGAAAATGAAAAACAGAAGAAAGAGAGGTTGCGCATAGAGAAAATGGAGCACAATGATTATTGAGTCTATGACAGGGAAGTGCTGCTTCATGTGATTCCTTTACCATGGTTGGGGTTGACCTATGTGGTTTTTTTTTATTTGTTTTGAACTAGTAGATGACATATGCACTCAAGATAGCTAATTTACAAAGTTGTGAGCAATCCAGAGTTGATACATATCTTGCAAATGGTCAAGAATAATAGCACTGACTTAGAGAAGGTGATGGATCTAGTAGAGAACTGTTAACAGAGTAACAGGGACTTGGTTTCTACAGAGGGATCCAAGGTGATCCCACGTGTTTGAATGGAGCAAACTGGAAAAGCATTGGCATTGTTTCTGCGACTAGAACACTTGAAGGGTATATATAGTTTTTTTGGGGAGCTGGCTCAGCTGGCCCTGAGAGTGGGGCTGGCGCGGTGTGTGGTGCCAGGGATTGAACCACGGTCCCCTGTGCCTGCCTAAGCGTGCCTGAACAGGCACTTTAGACCACTGAGCTATCTTGCTTGCCCAAGTATATGTAAGTTTAAAAAGAGAAGTAATGATACTAAATAATAAGAATGGCAGCAGTAAAAAACCTGCTACTATTAATACTGCATAATATTTAGACAAGATAGCATGTCTGCATCTTGTACTATGAATAACTACTATGAAGACAACAATATGCAGCATATTAATTATTGTCACTGTCCTACTAAATTGTTTTGGAACTGTCATTGCTATTTCTATCTCAATAAACTTAATTCAAACAATACTTATTAAACCAGGAAAAAAAGAGAAAAAAGTAAAAAGGTTAAGATTTTTTTGAACTCAAGCATCAATATTCAGTTATTTCCCCAATCTTGCATAACTATATCTGTGACTCTGAGCAGCAATTTGTAGATAATGTAAAAACCATTGTTAATTAGCTATTCCTGCTCTGAAAATTTGTAACGTATGTATTGCTGTATGTTACCCCGTTTCTGTCTTTTTTCTATTTGTTTGTGCTTCTGTTTTTAGTCTTCAAAATAAAATCAAA